TTGAAATCGGACATTGTGTTACCATGGAAATGGTACTTTAAATGGTACTCTTTTGGCGGTCTCCTCCCCCTTAGTGGGCGGTGTCAAGTGTCATATTACAAAATGCATTACGCTCTTTTACAATCAAAACTTTTTATAATCTTGACAAAAAACATATCATTGGAAAGGTCTGAGTCTCAGGATTCCATATTTTGTGATAGAAGTAATATTGACAGAGAAATCTAGACATTTGTGACAGAAAAATGCATTAAAAAAATTCAGTGGAGTTTGGATGGCACCCGGTGGCTGTTTGTGGTATAACACCGTAAATAAAATCTCACAGGAACCTCAATTTTTTTCATATCAACTTCAAATTTGGAACATAACTTATTTAGACATAAGACTTTAATTTTATACCAATTTTAGAGTAAAACCTGTTATGTAAAATATTTATTATATATAAAATAAAATAAAATTAATATAGTGCATTTTCTTTACAGTAAATTTAAACTACCATAACTTTTTGATACTTCATTTTTTTTTTTTATTCCACTTTTGCGATAATCTGCTGATTTTCTTCTTTAAAAAACTTTCTTCTAAAACGTATGTCTGTATTCCAAAGTGTTCATAAATTACAACAATTTAAGTTTGGATAATGCACCTGCATGCCTATTTTAAAAAATGGGGGGTGACAGTTAAGGGTTTAATGTAATACATTTGTATTCCTGGGTTTAGTCTTCTAAATTACTAGTGTTACTCATGTTTTCTCTCTTCTGTCGGCAGTGGATCTCTGGGTGTTCCTGCAGTAGAGAACAGACCCAGTATCTGGGGTGAAAGCCCCCCAAAGTTTGTGGCTAAACCTTCTCGCCTGTATCTCAAAGTGGGACAGAGCGGCAAATTCTCAGCCAAGACCACGGGACGACCCCAGCCACTGGTGCAGTGGTATAAGGTGAGGCATCTGAAGTCACAGGTTTGGTCGTACTATATTTCTCCACTGCGTTTCCTCTTTCAGGGAGAAGAGAAGATCCAGCAGTCAGATCACTTTAACATGTTTGAGAGGTCAGGAATGCATTTCCTGGAGATACGCCACATGTGCTCAGAGGACGCTGGTGTCTACAGCTGTCTGGTGGCCAACAGTGCTGGGAAAGCCTCTGCAGCCGCTGAACTCATTGCTCAAGGTAACACAGAAGGATATAGACTGATAGAGAAACAGATAAGGATGAGCGGCAAAATCTCTAGGGGCTGTGAATAAAAACTGTTGCTCTCTTTTGCAAAGTGTTTTGTAAATGAAGAATTAATTCTCATTATTTCAGCTCACAGTTTATTGCAACTTTATTTCTCATATTTTGAAAAGAGTTGTTTGCATATTACATCTCACAGTTGCAACCAGAGAGGGCCGCCAATAAGGCTGGTGCCTCGGGTCCTTGTTGGACCATAATCCATCTTTGGGAACAGATGTCAGAGCAATAACAACAGTATATGGGTTTCATTAATGTCTTAATGTTATCCAGTTCAGCGAAATAGCTCACAGTTCAGAGTCTGAAGTTTTCATAGTTTATTCTGTTGTTCTTTTGCAGATGGAGACGCTGAAACAGTCACGTAAGTAAAGAGCTTTTATTTAGTCCTTTTATTTACAGCTTGCCGTTATAAGGTGACAACAAAATACCAAATTTAAAAGACAAGACATAATTTACACACAGTATTATTTTTTTTCATTTAAAGTCTAAAGAAATTAACTGTACTTCTGATAAATATTTCAAAAATCTTCTATGTCTATTAGTGCTGTCAAACGATTAATCGCGATTAATCGCATCCAAAATAAAAGTAGTTGTTGTTTACATAATATATGAGTGTGTACTGTGTATATTTATTATGTATATATAAATACACACAGATGCATGTATATGTTCAAGAAAAATATGTTATATTTACATATTAAATATATTTATATATAATATAAATTATATGAACATAAATATGTACATGTAAATATTTTCAAAATATATACTGTATGTGTGTGTGTGTGTGTGTGTATTTATATATACATAATAAATATACACAGTACAAATACATATATTATGTAAACAACAACAATTTTTATTTTGGATGCGATTAATCGCGATTAATCATTTGACAGCACTAATGTCTACATTTTATGTAATCTATTGATGTTGAATCATATAACTGACATCAACTTGGTGGGCAAATTTCAAGGTTCTTAATTATCATTAAAATTCTTTCTGTATGCAAAATATAATTTCTTCTTGTAATGTGTATTATTTTTATTTTATTTTATGTTTTTATCTCATGTGCAGCCTTTATGACCTTAAGAGCGATTCACTCTAGAGCAGGGATTTTCAATCTTTGAAATGATTCATGAAATAACCATCAAATATGTGACCCTGGACCACAAAACTGAATAAATAAGCTTTTCATTGATGTATGGTTTTGGTTTGTTATGATCGGACGATATTTGGCTGAGATACAACTATTTGAAAATCTGGAATCTGAGGGTGCAAAAAAATCTAAATATTGAGAAAATCGCCTTTAAAGTTGTTCAAATGAAGTTCTTAGCAATGCATATTACTAATCAAAAATTAAGCTTTTAATTTTTTACAGTAGGAAATTTACAAAATATCTTCATGGAACATGATCTTTACTTAATATCCTAATGATTTTTAGCATAAAAGAAAAATCTATAATTTTGACCCATACAATGTATTGTTGGCTATTGCTACAA